TGTGGAAACAGTCGACTGGCATTCTGCCACAAAAAAAAAAAAAAAAGTCGAGCGCATAGTTCTGGGCAAACCCCCTCCCCCAAATATTCACACCATAGATTCCCTTCGTGTGGAGTCCTCTATTCTGTGTGTATTCGTTTCTCTCTCTCTCTCTCTCTCTCTCTCTCTCTCTCTCTCTCTCTCTCTCTCTCTCTCTTCTTCATCATTGAATGTTGCATGGAGTTCCTGTATGCCACTACTACTTCCCTGTTGCTCCCCTCTCAAGGTTTAAACCGAATGACCTTACATTGCTTACAAACGGTAAAAAAAAAAAAAAAAAACGTTAAATAACAATGATTGCAAGACGTCCCTAGACAACGTCCAGAACAGTCTCACAGGAAGAACCGGAACCAGAACGAGAAACAGCAGCAGCAGCAGCAGCAGCAGCAGCAGCAGAAGAAGAAGAAGAAGAAGAAGAAGAAGAAGAAGAAGAAGAAGAAAGTGAAGAGTAGTGAATAGTGATAAGCAATGTGCAAACTTGCTTCGGAATACCCACCCACTCATTGACAATGGCATTACACAATGAATTCCTGTCCTTGTGACCAAAGTGACTACACCGCTCACAACGAAGAAGAAGAAGAAGAAGAAGAAGAAGAAGAAGAAGAAGAAGAAGAAGAAGAAGAGGGCAAAACTCATATGCAGGTACCTCGACAAAAATGATGAGATCGAAAGAAGATTTGCATGTACAGAGAGCAGAGAATTAGGAAAACCTTGCCGAAGAAGGAAGCCTGACCTCAATCACCCTCAGAGCGACTTAACCGCTATCATCGCTGTCCCTACACAGACTACCTAGTCCGTGGTTGTTTCTTGCCCGACCAGGCCTTGAAGTTCGCTACCGACCGGCGACCGGCTTTTCCCCCTTACGAAGCTGCAGCGATAACCTGCTTATGGCCGCTGCTACCGGTACGCCAGCAGCTACCGACTGCCTGTTTTCTTCCCCCTTTAAATGCAAAGAAGATAACTTGGCTTTGCCAGCTAAAGGTAGGGACCGTCCGTCTATTGCATCCCCCCTTTAAAAGCACAGGAGATACGCTGAGCGGGCTATGGCCGCTGCTACCGGTAGGCCAGCAGCAACCGAGTGTAATTTCTCCCTTTAAAAGCACATGAGATCCACCTTCGCGGGCTCTGGCCGCTGCTACCGGTCGGTCAGCTAGCGATCTAACCAATCAACCAATCAATCACAAATACAGGAAGCTGGGCCGAGGTCCCACTAGCAAAGAGGATAGGATAGAAATCCTGAATCTGGCTTTGTTTTATGCAGAGATACAGAAAAGCAGTTCGATCTCGATTTCCTGCTCCTGTCCTCAAACACATCCAGATTCAGGCATTCAATCCGATCCTCTTTGCTAATGGGACCACGGCCGATTTCCTGGTGTCAGGTAGAATACACGTAATTCTAGACTTGGGCACTAAATTAATGTGGGCCCGTTGTAATGGGGCAAAAATAAAGCAACTAAAATAATAAAAAAATACAAGTAATCCTTCCGCTATTTTGCTTTGAAGAACCCTTCCCGATCGAAATCGTTTCACACCAGGGCGAACCAGATCAACATATAGAATGTGACCGTCCGTGCCGGTCAGATGCAGTCGTGCCACTTGTCGTCGTCTTGCTATGAACCCCCCCCCCCCTGGTCATAGGGAACGAAAGGACTCGGTCGAAAGAGCGACTGCAAAAAAAACAAAAAACAAAAAAACAAAAAAAAAAGCCCCTGCAATCTTCGATCAGGATATAAAATGTGACCGTCAATGCGGTCAGATGCAGTCCTTGCACTTGTCCTTGTGCCATCATTATGACCACCCCCCCCCCCCCTCCGCCCCCTTGCTCATAACCGACAAAAGGACTCAGTCGAAACAGCGACTTTTTCCGAAATCGTTCATTATATCGAAGCGTAGCCGCTCGATCGAAGTCCGACTCGACGGAGATGCAGCCTGCCGTCCACTTCTGTGATGATGGCCAGCGGCTTCTCTCGTGAAACGGTTGTTAATAAC